TTTGGGCCCCACTGCCATCATTACGCTCCAGAGTGAATGTCCTGTTGGTTTTCTGGGGCTGATCCCAAACCGTCCTTGTGCTTCCTGGTGCTGCTCTGAACCACCCCTCCCCATAACTCAGCAGCTGGGGTTGGGGGTCTCGCTCCCCACATGCGCTGCCCACCCCTCCGAGGCTGGGGGAGCTCAACCCCTCCCCCCCCCCAGCATTATGGCAGCAGTGAGAGCAGCGGAGAACCGTACCGAGTTCTTCTGGCAGATGTCCTCCTGGAGAGGGAGGGAGGGAGGGAGGAGGGACTTAATGAGGAGTTCTGGCACAAAAGAAATCAGCTGATCTCAGGATCCGGGGTCAAAGTCACCCGGCGATGGCCCCAACCCCAGGCAGGGCCACAGACAGCCCTCCCACCCCACACTGTGAAAAAGGGGCTCTGAACGGGTGCCCTTGTGCTCCCTCACGTCACAGTGACGTTTGGGGACAATTTAGATGCACTCCCCTCCACACTTCTTCCCAGCAGCCCTCCCGCTGGTCCCATTGGTTTGGTGTTTCCCAGGAAAGCAAGCTGAATTTTCCTGGATTTCCTGGGACACATGGGGGATCACCCCCTCCTCATCCCCTTTGGGCACCTGATGGTGCAACCATGGGAACCCATGTGGGCTCAGCGTGGGGATGGATGGCGATAGCACTGAGATGCCCACCCCCCAGACCCCCCACCCCAGGTGCTGCTCAGTGGTCCCTGCTCACCTGCAGGGCCCGCAGGGCAGGCAGCACCGTGTGGCAGCAGAGCAGCACGTTGTGGGACATATCGAAGCTCTCACGGACCCCCAAGTGGTAGAAGAGCGAGGGCTGGCAGACGGCATCACTCAGCTCCACCACGGCCACATCTGGGCAGGACAGAATCACAGAATGGCCAGGGTTGGAAGGGACCTCAAGGATCATGAATCTCCAACCCCCTGCCACACGCAGGGCCACCAACCTCCACATCTCACACCAGCCCAGGCTGCCCAGGGCCCCATCCAACCTGGCCTTGCGCACCTCCAGGGATAGACGGGGCATCCACAGCCTCTCTGGGCAGCTGTTCCAGCACCTCACCACTCTCACAGCAAACAACTTCCCCCTGACATCCAACCTCAATCTGCCCTCCTTCAACTTCAAACCGTTTCCCCTCATCCTGCAGTTATCTCCCCTTTCCAAGAGTTGATTCCCCTCCTGTTTGTAGGCTCCCTTTAGGCACTGAAGGCTGCAATGATTCACCCCACAGCCTTCTTTTCTCCAGGCTGAACAAGCCCAGCTCCCTCATCCTGTCCTCAACAGGACGGCATCAAGCACCGCCCCGAGCGGGGAAACCGAGGCACCCATCCGGAGAAACGAGCACGGCGGGGTGGGGAGGAGTGATGATTCTCCTCTTCACCTGCGTTATAGAAGAGATCCAGGGCTGCGGTGTCCCCCAGCGCCAGGCGGCCGAACGGCACGGTGCGCATCCGGCCCCGCAGCTGGCGGCAGGCGGCCCGCAGGGAGCGCAGCGCCGGGCACGGAGCCGGCTGGCAGCTCGGCACGAACACCACGCTCAGCGCCCGCCCGCACCGCGTCCCGCACACCGGGCGGCACATCGTGCCTTCCACCGCCAGAGGATCCTGCCAGCAGCTGCCGGCTCCGTGAGCTGCCATGGGATGTGGAGGAATCGGGGTGATGCTGAGCACCGAAATCTGCGCTGCGCAAAGGGAGCGCAGGGAAAGCACCAAATCCTGCACCAAGGGAACCCCAAAGGCGTGGTGAGAAAGCGTCAAATCCTGCAGTGAGGAAGGCCAAACCTCGCACCGGGGCAGCCCCAAAGCCTGCACTGAGAGAACTCCAATTGTTTACCAGGAGAGGCCAAATCCTGCACTGGGAGAGCTCCAAACCCTGCACCCCGCATGGGGGTCTGAATCCTGCACCAAGAGAACCCCAAAGCCACACTGAGAAAGCACCAAACCCTGCACTGTGAAAGACCGAACCCCACACCAGGAGAGCCCCAAATCCCACATCAGGAGAGCCCAAACCTTGCACTGGGACAGAACAAACCCCACACCAGGGAAGGCCCAAAATCCTGCACAGGAGAGCCCAAATCTTGCACCAGAACAGCCTGAACCCTACACCAGCAGAGCCCAAACCCCACATGGGTGCCCTAAAATCTGCACTGGGAGAGCTCTAAACCCTGCACCATGGGGGTCTGAGTCCTGCACCGAGAGACCCCCAAAGCCACACTGAGGAAGCACCAAATCCTGCAGTGAGAAAGCCTCAACCCCACACCAGGAGAGCCCCAATCCTGCACTGAGACAGGACAAACCCCACACCAGGAGAGCCCAAATCCTGCACAGGGAGAACTCAAGCCATGCACCAAGCCCAGCGCTAGGAAGCCTCAAATTCTTTACCAGGAGAAGCCAAAAACTGCACTGGGAAAACTCAAACTGTACACCAGGAGAACCCAAACACCGGGACAGCCCCAAATCCCGCACTGGGGCAGCTCCGAACCCGCACAGGGAGAACTCAAACCCTGCACCGAGAAAGTCCCAAATCCAGCAGCAGGAAAGCCCCGAACCGCGCACCCAGAGAGCCCAAACCCCGCACCAACGGAGCCCCAAACCCCGCACCAGGACAGCCCCGCACCCCGCCCCGCACAGCAGATCCCGCTCCCCGCGCTGCCCCGCTCCCCACCGCCGAACCGGCCCCGCTCCGTGCCGGCTGTGCTCTTTGGGTTCGGTTCTCCCCCCTCCCCAGCTCCGCTCCGCCCCGTCCCGCCCCGGGCACCGGCACCGCTTCCGCCTGTCCCGGAGTGACTCAGCGCGGCCGCGTGGGGACGGGATGGGACCTATGGGATCCGATGGGATGGGCAGAACCCTATAGGAGTCGAGGGGATGGGATGGAAGCCAACAGGAGCCGAGGGGATGGGACCCACAGGACCTGATGGGACAGAACCCTTTAGGACCCGATGGGGTGGGATGGAAGCCTGTAGGACCTGATAGGATGGGATCCCATAGGACTTGATGGGACCTAATGGGACAGGACCTATAGGACCCAGTGGGATGGGATGTAACCTCCTAGGACCCAGTGGGTTGGGACAGGACAGATAGGACCCAATGGGACAGGACAGAACCCTACAGGACCTGATGAGATGGGACACTAAAGGACCCAGTGGGATGGAATGGGACCCTATAGGACCCGATGGGATGAGATGGAACTACACTACAGGACCTGATGGGATGAGGCGGGGCCTTATAGGACCAGTGGGGCAGGACCTATAGGATGGAATACTATAGGACCCAATGGGATGGGATGGGATCGTATAGGACCCAGTGGGATGGGATGGGACCCTGTAGTATAGAGCCCTAATGGGATAGGCCAGGATCTAATAGGAACCAGTGGGATGGGACAAAACCCTATTGGACCAACTGGAATGGGATGAGATTCTATAGGACCTGATGGGACAAGACAGAACCCTGTAGGATGCAATGGGACATTATGCATAGGACCTGGCAGGATGAGATGGAACCTTAAAGGACCCAATAGGATGGGACCTATAGGACCTGGTGGGACAGGACATAACCCTATAGGACCTGATGGGATGGAACCCTATAGGACCCCCAGCACCGGGTGCTGCTCCCATCCTGGTGGCACCAGTTGCAAAAGAGGTGCTGAGGAAAGGGGAAGCTGTGGGGCCACGGCGAGTTCCTTCCCCCTGAGCTGCTGCTGCTGCTGCAAGGCACGCATGGGTGGGGTGAGGAGAAGCTGTGGTTTTCCTGGAGAAGGGGGTGGGCAGTGCCCTGTGTGCCCACCACGTCCTCATCACATCCCATCGTGACTCCATGGCGCCCCCATCACGTCCTCATCAGCACAACCCCATAGTGTCCCCTGTGTCCCCATCACATCCCCCAAAACGTCCCCACCATGTCCCCATCAACACATCCCCACAGGTTCTCCACCCTGTGTGTCCCCGTGGTGTCCATCACGTCCCCATCACATCTCCATGCTGTTCTCAGTGTGTCCCCATCATGTCACCATGCTGTTCCCATCACGTCCCCCATCATGTCACCATGCTGTTCTCATCGTGTCCCCATCACATCTCCATGCTGTCCCCTTCCCATCATGTCCCCCATCATGTCACCATCATGTTTCCATCATGTCCCCCATCATGTCACCATGCTGTCTCCATCGTGTCCCCATCACATCTCCATGCTGTCCCCTTCCCATCATGTCCCCCATCATGTCACCATGCTGTTCCCATCGTGTCCCCACCACATCCCCATGGTGTCCCCATGATGTGTGTCCCCATCGTATCTCCATCATTTCCCCATCAATGCAGCCCCATAGTGTCCCCATCCCTCTCCCTCCCCCCCCATGGCCAATTAAAGGACATTAATGAGGAGAGGGGACACGAGGAGGGGGTAACCACGACACAGACACCAAGCATGGGAGGAAAGTCCTTTATTGGGTCTCTGCCCCCACAGTGCCAGCCCTGGGTTGGGGGGCAAACAGCCCCCACCCTCCTACCCCCACAGCTTCCTCCTGGCAGTGTGTGTGTGTGGAGGGGGGCAAAGCTGGGTGGGATGAGCCCCCCCACGCCATCGAGGAGCACTGGAAACACCCCAACAGCATCCCATGCTCTGCTGGGTGACTTGGTGACACGGCCCAGCCCCCCCCCTTCACCCCCAGGTGCAGCCCCCCCTGAGCAGAGCCAGCTTTGCATAGTTGTGGTGCAGGGGGGGGTCCCACAGCTGGGGGGGGGGGCTTTGGGGTGGTCCTGGCATGGGATGGAGACACAGCAGTTGTCTCTTCTCCACCTCCCCGGGGGGGTGAGGGGAGCATCGCTCCGAGCTCAGATCCTGCAGCAGTGGGTGGAGAAAAGCACATAGCAGGAAGGGCCCGGGGGGGGGCACAGCATCCACCCCACTGCCCCCACCCCACTGCCCCCACCTATGGGAGAGGGGGGTCCCACATCTGGGATGAGGGGGAGAATGGGAGCTGCTGCAGGGAAGGGATGGGGGGCACAGGGGCTCTGCAGGCTTATTCCCCCCCCCGACCTCTATGCCCCCCCCCCCAGGACACGGTGGGGCTGACACACGGACACCACCTGGCAGAGTTTAATGGGGGCAGCGGGAGCGACAAACCTCAGCCCACAGCACACAGCATGCAGCCCCCCCCCAAAGAAACAGCACACAGGGGGAGGGGGGACACACAGGGACCTCCATCTCCATCGTGTCCCCCCCCCGCGCCCCCCCCACACCCAGGAACACAGAGGCACAACAAAAGCACACAGCAAGGTCCCGGCTCTGCTCCTGCAGGAGGGGGGGGACACTGGGGGCTCAGGGCTGGGGGAGGGGGGGGACAGGAGGGGACAGCATGCGGGGCTGGGACCCTGCAGGATGCGATGGCACCGGGATGCTGGAGCCAGAACCAAGAGGGGACCCCACACGGTGCAGAGGGGGCTGGGGGGGGGACGCACGCTGCTGGGTGCTCTATTAGAGAGCAATTCCTGGGGGGGGGAAGCCCCCACCCCAGCGAGGGGCTCAATGGGACGGGGGCTGCCTGCCACCTTCTTGGGGACACAGCAGAAGGGATGGGGATGTGGGGTCACCTCACAGCCCCGGGGACAAACAGCACACAGCAGAGAATCCCCCCCCTCCCCCCCGCCATGCAAAGCAGAAGGTGGGAATGAGCCCCTTCCCCCAGGGGCAGCTGTGGGGCAGCAGGGCAGCCCCCTCCCCATCCTCTGGCAGCGCTCAGCACCTACTGGTTGTCCTCTCTGGCAGCGTGCAAGGAAAGAGAGGGGGGCACGACCCCCCCGTGTTAGAAGCCCCACGGTGGGCACGAGGAGGGGCTGGGAGAGCATTGGATCCCCACGGGGTGGGTCTGGGGGCTGCACGGTCCTATGGGGTGCGGCAGGGCAGAAGCACACAGACAGACGGACACAGAAAGGATTCAAACCCTCCACGTGGAAACGAGGGAGGGCACCCCAGGAAATGAGATCCTCCCCACCCCCACGGGAGGGGACGGACAAACAGCCACGGGAGGACGCAGCGCCCCACGCTGAGATGCGGTGGTGCTGCCCTATAGCATCGGTGTGACCCCACAGAGGAGCAAGGGAGCCTTACAGCGTTTGGTAGGTGCTGTCCTTGGACTTGATGAACTTGAGGATGAAGAAGAGGACGGCCTGAACGCTGAGCACCAGCACCATGCCGCCCACAAAGCTGGCCGTGTCGAAGCCTGGAGGCTGGAACTCGGGGCTGCCCGTCAGCGGGGCACGCGTGGTGCTGCTCCCTATGGGACAGCGTGGGGCTACGGGGACCGACCCCAACCCAACCCCCCTCCTGAAGGATGGGGTCCAGCGGGAGAGAAGGGCTCGGCCCCTTCCATTGCTGGAGCAGCACAAGGCATCAATAATTCAGAGCCGCAGCTCCGGTTACGGCTGCATTTAGCCCAGTGCTCTCCAGTTCCCTTTTCCTGGAAGAGGCTCCATCTCCACTCCCAGCCCCGTCCCAGCTGCCCGCACAGGAATTGCTGCTGCTCCCCAGGGCCCCCAGCCCATCCTACACTGCTGCAGCACGGGGTGCAGAGCTGTGGGGCTGGGGCAGGGCTGGACTGTGAGCACAGCTGGGGGTCAGAGCTCAGTGATGTGACCCGAGAGGGTGGCACTGCTCATCCCCGGGGACAAAAGATGCACAGGGAAGTGGGTGGTCCCATCCCATGCCATCCCATCCCATGCCATGTCATGCCATCTCATTTTGTCCCATCCCACCCCATCCCATGCTATCCTACCCTAATGCATCCATCCTATCCCATGCTGCCCAACCCCAACCCATCCATCCCATCCCATCCCATCCCATCCCATCCCATCCCATCCCATCCCATCCCATCCCATCCCATCCCATGCTGCCCAACCCCAACCCATCCATCCCATCCCACCCCATCCCATGCTATCCTACCCCAATCCATCCATCCCATCCCATGCTGTCCAACCCAACCCATCCATCCCATCCAATTCCATGCTGTCTTACCCGAACCCATCCATCCTATCCCACCCCATTCCATGCTATTCAGCCCCAACCTATCCATCCCATCCCATTCCATGCTATCCTACACCAACCCACTCAACCCATGCTATCCCACCTCAACCCACTCATCCCATCCCACCCCATCTCACCCCATCCCATGCTATCCTACCCCAATCCACCTATCCCATCCCAACCCATCCCATCCCATGCTATCCTACTCCAATTCATCCATCCCATCCCATCCTACCCATCCCATACTATCCTACCCCAACCATCCCATCCCAACCTATCCCATTTCATGCTATCCCACCCCATCCCACCCCAGCCCCACTCACGTGGGGAACGCGTTGTCGGCTCCTTGCTAGGGAACCGTGGTGGCTCTTTGGTGGGGGATTTCAGTGCTGCTGGAGACAACAGCAGAGGACAGGAGGGAGGAGGGCTGCAGGGGGCACAGCCACACGTGGTCCCATCCCCATTGTGACCCCATGGCTGTGGGGTTACCTGGGCACAGGGCAGTGCTGTTGTAGAGCACACATGTGTCCCACGCGGCCGCCCTGCTGTGCATGCAGCTCCACGTCTCTGCAGGGAAATGGCACAGGGGGTTCCATGGGGGTCCTGGGGCTCACTGCTCCCCCGGACCGAGTCAGGCCTGGAACCCCACACCCCGGGCTGAAGGATGGGTGGCACCGGGAGGGGTGAGGGGTGCAGCACTCACCTGGTGCCCCACAGCCCCCCCAGAGGCAGCCGGTGCCGTTGGGTGCTGGAGGAGCGGCTGTGCACAGCTCACAGGACAGCAGCTCGCTGCATTCTGCAAAGCAAAGGGAGAAGTGGGGTCAGGGCCGGGTCCGTTCCCCACCTCTGATTGGGAAGGACTGGTGGCCCCTCCTGGTGGGGAGCAGAGTCCCATAGGGAGGACATCCCTCACCCCAAACCACCCCATGGCACACAGCGCTCACCCCACTGCCCGCAGCTGCAGGACGGGGATCTTTTTGGGGTCGCTGTAGGGCCACCCCATCCTGATGCCCCTCTGCCTCCCAGTGCCCCTCTGCCCCCCGGAGCCCCACTGCCCACCACCCCACCACTGTGAGTCACTGCTTTGCCACCAGCTCTCCCCCCACCCCCCCACGCACTCATCATTAATTGAAGGCAGTGTCAGCA